CTGTGATAAACCTACAACCATCCTGAGACACTGTGGAACTTGGCAGCAGATTCACTGCAAAGATATAAAACACATGATAAGCATGTAGTGACATCAAAAGGAGTGCAATGTAATGGTGTTCAGATGTCTCCCCTCAAGCCTACACAAAAGCTGCTCTGAGGGCTGCTGTTGCTCGGAACTCTGAATGATTCCCTTTTGATAAGCCAGTTGTTATCAAATCCAAGGAGTCTTATGAGCAGCACCTCCTGACTTTGTTCCTTTGCGAACTAAAAAGCATCAAGGCTTCTTCTGTTGCTTGAAAGACGTGTGAAGGTTCAGGTTTTAAACCTCAAATCCTGTTTTTTACTTCAGAAGTTGATTGCACAAGCGGACAGTGAATGAGTGTCTCCGTTTCCCTTGCGGTCAGAGAAGATCCTATTCATACTGAGTTTACAAGCAAACACTTCCTTTGGTAAGCTTCCCATGCAATTCAATTCATGTGTGTGCTTTTAGACTCTGTCTTTGGGTCTGGACTAACATCAGAACAAGCGAGTGAGGCAGGCTTTCTTCTCAGCCCACCACAGCCTTTGAAATGATGAAACACACTGTGTTCTCTGCACGTTGCTACAGTCCTGTCAAGTCAGTGAGATTATTCATGCATCAAGAGGCTAAGCACATACATGGGCATCTACTGCATGATGTACACGCATCCCAGAATTTCACTGGCTCAACAATCAATCTAATGTTTTTGCTCTTTGTAGTTACTGGCTGGCAGCCTAGAATCCGCTGGCACCTACACTTAGGATTCTCCTCTGAGCATTCTGTGACCATGTTGTATGTTTGAAACATTATGTATTAACAGTAAGTACTTTATGGCCAGAAAATAAATTATTATTTATGGAAGATTTGGAATTTGCAGTGAGTACTAGTCTGTACCTGTAGTGAGGAGCCATCAGCTTAAGGCTTTGGCTGTAGCTACAGAAAAGAAGACCTGTCCTTGGGATATTCTAACATTTGCCACTCCAGGAAGCCCTTTTCTAGGTGCATCTTCTTCAGTGTAACAGACCCCTATCCATTATGGAAATGTTCAGTTAATGGACCACACAGCACCTCAGAATCCACACATGGAGATTTTTAGGGAAAGTGGAGATTAAGATTCACTTGAAATGGCAGTGGAATTTATTTGCACAGTGAATTCTAAGCTAGTTTTGTCCACAGTACTAGAGGTATTCTTGAGAAAAACGTCACGAGGTACTTGTGACCACAGGTAGGTAACACCTTTGTCATCAGCCACTCATGAGGAAACATGAATATGTCCAAGAGGACATTGTCTAAAATAAGGCAGTGTGTTGGCCTTGGCTGGTGAGTCATCGGTATCACTTCCTGCAGCCCCTGCTTTTGCTCTGGGTATTTCTCAAGGGAGCACTGACTTAGCCTAGTCTTTTTGATTCTTCTAAAATGAATAAGATCACAGCTCTGGAGATGATGAATATGTCCTTGATTCAGAGGAATGTGCACTCCTTTTAGCATAAGTGTGCTAAATCTTCCATGAGATGCCTGCCTGATTAGTTTTTATCTTTATACATCATGGCTCCACTGATTTGAAAACTTCAGTCTCTCTAGTTGTAAAATGGAGAATTCATGGGAGGAATCTGTTCAAGTGAGAGAGTGAGCTGTGTTAATGGCTCGTGCCTCAGGGTACCACTGAAAGCTGTTTGTGTGGATCTCTCTTGACTTTTCTTTATTTCAATATTTGCTTAGATGTTTCTTTAATCACTCAAAACACAATGTGAACTTCTCTGGCAGCAACAGATTCTCACCAGTTTTCAGTGACAGACCCTTCTCAGCTACTCTGAGGTTTGCTCATTTGTAAAGCACACCTTACAGAAAAAAGAAAAAAAACACCTGACCTCTGAATTTCTTTTTTTAAATATCATTGCAAAATTTCTGACGTCAGACAATGAGACACAAATTACCCTGTGAACATATGCCTGTTTACATATGATATATTATAGCCAAAGCAGATTAAGATTTGAAGGTTTAACTGCTGTTGAGTTTCCACTTCTGTGAATCATACAGATCATACAGCTTATTCATCACAGCCACTTATTTTTATTCTTTAACTCTTTCAAGCTACTTCTATCCCGAGCAGAGTTTATGGGGGACATGGGACACATATGGGAACAGAGAGGTCATGACTGCATAACAAACCCCAGACTTTGCAGATGAAAGAGCAAAAAGCTGTCAGTAACTGCAGCCACCCTGAAACAGTAGTGGTTTGTAACTTCCACTACGTGAGCTGACAGGCACAGAAGCCTTCCCCAATTGCCAAGATTAGTCTGTCCTTCCACCTAGTAAAGTGCCAGCTGCAATGGATGCTGATGGCCAACCCTGAAATCTTTCCATATAAGGAGGAAAATCACTTGTAAGAACCACCAAGAGAGAACCAGCCATGAAAAATCAACAGGATGGCTCCAATTCCAGATTGAGAGAAAAAAAATCACTTATCATACTAGGATTCCTTGGATGTTATGTTATAATTTGACTTCAGAAATGCCAAACATTCTGGTGAGAACTTCATTGATTTCAGTAAATATAGGCAGTTTTATTTAGCATTTGAATCTATGAGGTGCATCCCTGATTCTGATGGGACTTAAATACTCTCATCAGCAACCCTAACATAACTGCATGAGTATTTGTCTTTTTCTGGATAAGATGTTTGAAAAGAGGTACCTCTGCTGATAAAAGAAAGAAACCTACCTCTATTTAAATACACATGCCTCTTCACCTCACATGTGATTGTTATTAAAGCTAAGCAGGTGAGTGCTGCCAAAAATCAGTCCATTTCTTTCAGCTGAAACTGAGAAGGATTTCAGAACTTAGGCTGCACCTGCATTTGCTGTTCAGGCTCTCTGATTCACTGGTGTTGCCTGGCTCAGACTAGCAAAGGAGGGGAAGAAAGATGATGTATTTTGAGGAACGAATATGAACACTCAAAAATACCTTTCCTCTTAGAGTGGCAATAAGTGACTGCTTGACTATTTGTTCTCTTCATCTAAAGTGTCGCTTCAGATTTGTTTTTTTTCTCCCAGCTGCATCATCTTAAGCAGGCAGTTCATGTTATTACCTGTGGATTAGCTAACACAGCCTGAGTGCAGCACTGCGATGGGTCAAGCCTCTCTCTTTCACACAGGACAACAAGGTGTAACCAAGACAGCAATCTCCCTTATAGCATTACTCACTGGAACATGAGGGCAATGAACCATATCAGGAACTGCAGCTATCTAAAGCTATGCTGGTACAAATGCCACAGGTAGCAAACCAAACCTGCTGCCACCAGTTTGTCAATATGAATTAATCTGGGTATAATTTACCATTTAGAATGTTATGTGTTATTGGAAGGCACACTCAAGCATCCAGATACCTACACAAACTAAATGTGAGGTGCGACACTTGTGGCTATGTAAAATGTTTGCACATCTTTGCATCTGAAAACTTGGGAGGCTGGTTATCACCAGGGATTGAATTAAATCCATGAAGGACAATGTTAGTGCACCTCTGTCAGAAACTGCAGAGCTTGTTTAACCAATGCAAGTTCCTGTTTCTGAGTGTTCTGCTTATAAACGGTGTGAGAATAAATTTAACCACCAACTTAAAGATGAAACAAAAAGGACACTTCCCCCCCCCTTTTTTTTTTTTGACTATAGTTAACATCCTCTCTTGTGGTATTTAACTGAAAATCAGTGACCCATCTTAAAAACTACAGCTTTGAGACATGAGGTGTCTTAAAAGGGACCTGATTTTACACATAAAAACACAAACAAGTACCTACTGCTCAGCCACCCCCCGGTCTCTTTCAGCTAATTCAGCTGGCCTTCCACAGGGAGAAGCACCCACGCTCGCTGCCGAGCTGTGAAAAGATGGACCTTTGGGGTTAGACCACATCAGGAAAATCACCCAGCCAATTCCCGTGAAGTGTTTTGAACACAAAAGCTCAGTGCAAATAATAATGGTTCAGTTCTCTTTTTCAGCTATGAAATCAGCTTGCAGATTAATATTCTTCAATTACAAAGTAACAATTTTCAGTTTGAAGTGGTTTGTACTCTTAAGTGTAACTGGGGTTAATAATGGTCTATGAAAGGAGAGCAGTTAGCTCTCCCAGTAACCCAGTGTGAAAAGCTTAGCATATAGGTGCCTCAGCTACATTTTACACTAAATGTCAGATTGTAAATTCGGAAAAATGACATAGGAAGATACCACCTAGCCCACTAAGGATTCCAAAATTCAAACAAACCTATATTTTCTGCTTCACATATGACAAGAGATAATTGCCATCTGACTGCCAAGGCAGCTCCTTTTACCTGCAGCTATTTCTAACTCATATATGTAATGCCTTATCTGCTAGATATGTTCAGAGCAATTTAGGTAATAAACAGAGTGTCACAAAGTTTAAGTTCTTTTCTGGATCTGTGCCCAAAAGCTTAGGTATCTGAAGCTTATATAAAATAAGATTAACTGGTTTTCAATTCAAGGCATATGGTTACAATATATTTGTATTATCTACAATTTTGTTATTGGAATACCTTTATAAATAATTGTAGTCTTCTAGCATACAGTATTAAGGTAAAGCATTCTGGGACTTCCAAATACAAAAAACTTGAAATAAATGCTACTGAATCTCAAAAGAAAAGCCTAAGTTAGGGCAGAGAGTTCAAAAATTATAAGAACAAGGCCAAGATCCTCAAAGCTGAGTGGCAGTTTTCTGTGTCCACACACAAGGTATAGATGTGCAACACTTTCTGAAAATTCATCTCTATTAAGGTTTCCTGAGGTTTCCATTAAAACATGGGTGTGCTCCCAAGCAGGGTAAATCCTTGATCAGAGTGCCCTACTCCAAGTATTCCCAGTTACAGAGACAGTAACAAAACTATCTGCAACATAGAGCAAAGCGCTCACTGTTACGTGCTGGCAGTATCTGCACCTCTAATATGCTGAAAAAACTAGCACACTGACAAGGAAGGTTAAATGCTGCAAAGCATGTTTTATTTATAAAATGCAAGTGTTTAGAAATTCAGGAAGGTCAAAATACCCCAAACAAAACTGAATTCCTTACATTCATTAGTTCAAAAAATACTTTCAGTTAGAGTTGAGGCCTTCAACTTCGCCTATAAATGAAACACTTAACAATGATTTGCCTATAAATTAAACACTTAACACTTAAAAAATAACAGTCTCACAACCTACATATAATCAGCAGCTTATCTCACAAGACCTCTAATAACAAATTTTCTTTGTGGCAGTAGCATATCCAGCTCACTCGTCCAGTGTTGACCAGCTTTATTTATTCTGACTGTCAATCACTCTTTTAAGTGCTTCATCTGGCACAAGATCTGATCTTTTTACATCATCATGGCTACAGCCCATTTTAGGGCATCTGTTAAAAAGAAAAGAGAGACTCCATTAAATCGGAAGAATTGTATTTGTCAGATACAGGCTTTTGCATAACATCCGCTAGTTTTTGTATTTATCTGGGATTCACTCTCTCTATCATTTCCTCCTTACCTCTTTTCCTCTTCACCAGCTCTCTGTGGGAAAAAATAAATCTATCTAAACTGGTGGGAATCATCAGCAGAAGGCAGGAAGGGAGGGAGGAAGGGAGGGAGGGAGGAAGGGAGGGAGGGAGGGAGGGAGGAAGGAAGGAAGGAAGGAAGGAAGGGAGGGAGGGAGGGAGGGAGGGAGGGAGGAAGGAAGGAAGGAAGGAAGGAAGGAAGGAAGGAGGGCAGTGAGAGATGGAACCTCTCACCTGTGATCACTCTCTTGCTTCATGTACACAAGCTGCTTGTATTAGCAATGACATCAGCATTGCATGGACACCTTTCTGTGCTGCTTTCTCTCTTCGCAGTCCTCTACAAGCTCCAGGTAACTACCTCTTACCTTACTAATCTGCAGTGGAGAAGTATAATCTTCACTAACAGATAAATAGGGGAATTATTTTTAGTAAAACAGATAAAGAGAATGAGACTTGCAAAGACTAACTGGTGAATCAGTGGACTATCTAGTTGGTATAAAGATCAACCTGACCTTTTAGGAACTGTGAAAGCTCAGAAAGGAGAAATGGGGTCAAATTAACAGCCTCTAGATGATAATCAAATACAAAATGTCTTACAACTACTTGAAACAGCCAGATAAAGAAAGCAGGGTGAAAGATATTCAGGGACCAAAGGTCATTTTCCTTTGGCAGTGGCCCAAACACGCACAGATGGAACCTGTAGTCAGAAGTAACACTTTTCCTGAATTTTTTCTCTCTTAAGAGTAGCTTTTTTCTGAGGTGCTGAACTTATTTACACTCAGTACTCACAACTTTTACTCCAGATTTGTCCATAGCTTACTGTGTTTGTCATAGACCAGTCATTTAATTGCTCTGTGCCTCAGTTTTCCCATTTATCACCTTAATACAGCAACAGCTTGCCAGATTAATGAATAACAAGTGCTCAGAAAGCTTCCCACATTTCCTGTAAGCATGAAGTATTAGCATGTCCTTCCAGGCAGTGGAAAATACTAAGCAAACTGAGAGACGTAAGAGTTGCCTAAAGGAATGTATGACGAGTCTATCAGCACAGCACCGGTGGCTTTGTGTACATCAGCTGCAGGGCTGACATGCAGCTACTGCACTGCCAAGGGCACTGAAGGATCCTGTGGATTTGAACTGGAAAGTACGTGTGAGGAAACAGCCACTCTGTGTCTCCAGAGCGAGCAACAGCTTTCACTTCAGAGTCAGGGTAGCGAGGATCCCTGTAACCATGCTCTGCTCTATCAGGACACCTGCTTTCACATGAGTGTTGTTGGCAGGAGCACAGCTAAGTAGCAACACCACGAGAAGGGGGTACTCAAATGGGGAACTTGTTGCATCCACTGGCCTGCCTTCCCACCACAGCAGATGATGGTTTTCAAAAGTGACTGCATTTTCATGAGAAAAAAAAAAAAGTTTAAAATTACAGCAGGTCGGTGAGACTGGGCAGAGAAAACCAAGTAGTCCTTAATTTAGCTACAGTGAAGCTGTGATATTGCTGTGTGTGTGCTTTTCTAGCACACTGGAATAACTGCTGTAAAAGTGGTAAGGCTGCAAGCTAAAAGCCAGTGTTCAGACTGCACAAATAACTTCCATTTAGGTATAAGGTAGCTTTTAAAGCTAGGTGTTGTACAGCTTACATGATTATTTTAACTCTAGAATTTCTCAAGGCTTTTATTTCTTAAAAGGTAAAATAAAATTCAGTCATGTGACGCTATTTGTTTTTCAGCAGTCCTAAAACTTTTGATCCACTACAACAATCTCTCCTACCATGACATTCTCCTGATGGATTTAACAACACAGGGAAATACTTAGATGTGAACACCTACATTCAGTTCTGTATCACAGAAGGTATTTTAGTTATGGTTTTAGGCTATTGAGCACATGCTTCCTAGCTTCTCCCTATCCTCCAGAACACTCACTTTCATCTCTCCAACTTGTGAGTTGTTTCTCAACTCCTGCTCATTTTTCCAGCCAAGTTTCTGTCCATCCGTGTTGTTGGTTTTGTTGTTATTTCCAGGATACTGCACCCATTCCACTTTTTTCCCTAGACCTCATAACTCAGGCAAGGTACTTCAAGCTATCATGACACTAAGGTAGTGGCTGGACATCCCAACTGATGCTTGATTTTATAGCAGGGCTTTCCTGTTGCAGGGAAGGAGCGTGGAATAAAACTCCGCTCGACCTTCATAACCCCCATGGAGGACTATATAGAGTCCAACAGAAATGAATGCCAGAGCAATGGATGGAAGACATAAGCTGCCTGTGGCATTATCTCTGGGGAAATCAGGTTGTTGGTCACTGTGAGACCTTACCCTGAGGATCTGAAAACTCCACATTTATTTAAAAGTCCACAACTGGTAAGTTTCCACGACGTCATCAGTCCCAAAGCATGAAGCTCCAGCATAAAGGGTGTAAAAACAAATGTGAAATTAATGATGAAATGGTGTGTCCTCTCAACGTGCTCTAAAAAGTGTCTGAGACATTTTTATTTTCTTTTTTTTAACTTTTTTTCTTTAAGTCAAAATCATCCTGGTTTTTAAACTTACCAGGGAGAATTTGAGGTTGAAAAATTCAACTGTTACATCTTTTCACTCAAAAAAATATGTTCCATGTGGAAAGTGACAGGCTGCTTTGATGATATAAAGAAAGAATTATTTAACTGCATCATAGCAGGAACTGCACAATCTGTACTGCACTGCCTGATCATTCTTAAATTCTGTACAACCTAAAATGTTGTGGTTTAATATGCCTCACTTTCACACTCACTTAGGTGTTTTAATATTTCTCAGGTGTATTGGAATATAACTGCAAAAGAGGGTGCACAGAGGAGATTTTTGTTTTGTTTGTTTTCATTATTTTCAGGACTTGCTACATAAGCAGTGGGAACAAAATCAGCAACTAAATTTTAGGAAGCTGAAGGTTCTCTTTTTTGTTCATGGCTATATGAAATCTCTTTATTTCTGTTGTTCAGGTACCACAAGCAGCTGTAACTTCCCCACACAATTTCTGAATATTTTCTTACACATTGTTTTCATTAAAATGAAAAGCTCTTTCACGTGTACAGTACTAATGAGAAGACTGAGACTTGGGCAGACGCTGAGGTATTACTTCCTGCAGCCTTGCCAATCCACATACGTTTCCTAGAACAAGTGGAGTAAAATTCCACTTACACAGCAAAGCAAATAGCTTTTCCACACATTCTTTTTAGCTTACCGGACTTTTTTCTTTCTCTGCTTTCGAGACTGGATAATTTCTACAATGGCCTCTTCTTCGTAAGTATGTCCACAGACCTTGTTTCGCACCGGCCTCCTCATTTCCATCTGTAATCAATAAAGTTTGATTTAAAGGAACTGATAATGCCCATGAAAATGCTTCTTATGAGATTTTATGTAAAACAGCAGGAAGCGTGTTTGCCATTCATACATGGCATTCCAAGCAAATTACAAGATCAGGCCCTGCTTGGAAAACTGCATTCCTACTTACTAGGCTTTTTTTCCCAGTGATGTTGTTCTTCTCTGATAACACTTCTAATTTATACTGCCTGTTTTTTAATAGATACTGCAGATTTTTAATAAACCAACCAATGTAGAATATGAAATAACTATTTCCCAGTCGATTTTTGTAGCGGTGATAGCATTACCTGTGTAATGGGACAAATAAAGTTCATCTGACTCCGAGTCACAGCTATATCTTCATCGATTTGTTCAATGGTCTCATCATCATCATCTGATATCTGACGAACTAGAATGGGAAACAAGAAAAAAATTATTTAGTATTTAATATAGCTAATACTTAAAATAAGCATATAAAATCCAACATTTGCCAAGCTCTTTCCCACAGTGATATCTAAGATTCCACAATGTATTTTTGCACCACTCCACGAACAAGACACTGCAAGAAATACTGTATTATAACGTATTTTTAAAAATGCGGATTTTTAGATGGTAACCACTTTTGTGTATGTGTGTGTGTGTGTGTGTGTGTGGTTATTTACAGCCAATGCTAGAAAGGAGGGCTGGGAAGGAGAGCAAACTGGCCTGAAGATGTGCAAAGCCTTTGGTATTCACTGTTCAAGTTCACCAAAACCTAGTAACACACAGATGAGTCCCCAAAATCTAAGAAAGGATGAAGTGGAGGAGATCTGGCAGATCTACCCTCAATATCAGTTTGTGTTTGTGTCATATACTATATATATACACTATATAGCCTGTTTATATTGTTTATACTTTAAAAGGAATTTGTACTATTTATCATAACACATCATTTTGTAAGTGATGCTGCTGTATTTTAACGAGACTATAATTAGTGAAAAACAAAAGCTAAAAAGTGTTATGGACAAGAGAAATGTTATTGAAGCAACCTTAAGGGGGAGGGGCAGAATGAAATACTGACATCTCCCAGAAAACATCCGATGGCACAATGCCAGGGAATGAAGCGCAGACAAAGAAGAATAAATACACCTTGAGCTAGAGGAGATGCAGGTCCCCACCTTTACCCGAAGAAGAAAGCAAGGTGTAAGCAACTCTGTGTACCCAGGGGCACACCAGTCCAGCATTCCATGCAGAAACTTATCAGCCAGAGTCAAAAGCTGAGACACAAGAGCAGGTAAGGAAGAGATATATATCTACATGGATAGATAGATATACAGATACACATATAGCTAAGTATAACCTTAATGAAATGTATACATGTTGGTTTATATTCTTCTAACTTCGCTCTGTTATTTTAAATCTAGGATTTTAGTTGAATGCGTTTGTTTGTCTTTGAATCTTATCTGGTAATAACAGCAAATTTAACACCTGCCATAGCTTTCCATTCCTTTGGGGCAGTTCTGCAATGTTTTTGCAGCACTGCCCTGGGGTGCAGTCCTCAAGGTGTCCCAAGGTAAGAGAACATTTTTCTTTCTGGCTACACAAGCTAGTTTGTAATGTAGCAACATAGAGTTCAGAGAGGATGACATCCTTCAGTGGTCTGTGCTGGCTTTGACTGCCAAGTGAGGAGTGAGAAAAACAAGTGAACATGGAGGGTTTAGAGTTGATGATTTGCCTTCTACAGTGTCTCAGCCTGGGTTCCCTGTGCTGCTTTTGCACACTATTAGCCGATCTTTGCATCCCTGGCATTCAGCCTTCCACAACTATTAAGGACCAGTGTTTCCTAACTTATGGTCAGTCCTGCATGCCTGTCTAATACCATCACCTTCCAGATGATAACAGCAGACACCACTTGTGGAGCAACCAAAATCTCTCACACCCAGTTCTGGACTGAGCACACTGCCCTGTGAGCCAGCACAGCTCTGGCTGAGGTACTCTGGGCATTGGTGTTGCAGCCATCACTCCACCACAGCACCTCTCAGTATGCCAGGTCTATTTCCAGATTATTCCTTCCTCCTAAACAGAGCTTGCCCTTCTTTCCTTTCCAATATTCAAAGCATTCTGGAATGTTTCCAACCCAGGTATTCTGACCCTAGGTGTTGGAGTTGAATCTTTAAGGTCCCTTCCAACCTGAACCACTCTATAATTCTATGATTCTACTTCTGTAAATACCAAGGGAATATTCAGGCAAGCATCATGGATATTTCTGTGTATGTTACTAAGGCCTCATTCAATCAACAGGGTGTGGATTCTGGGGGAAAAGGAGCTCAAATGTCTAATTCAATAATAATTTCAAGGCTTTAATCTCCAAGAATATTAACATACCTTCTGACCCCCCAACAAAGGCAAGCACTTGCAAATCAGAAGGAAAAAGTGGACACAATTTAACATTAAATACCAAAACTGCAATGGTATGGACACCAGAAATAGAATTGCGGCAGTCACCAGTTTTCAGAAGAAAAACCTCTGTCACATGTTAATCTTAGATTGCTCATATATAAGGTTTATTCTACCATAAAGACATAATATTTGAAGTAAATACAGCTTTTGGATGGAAAAAGTGGGTTTTTTTAAATGAAGGTTTTGAAATAAAAAGCAATGAGTGAAATCCCACTGAGACAGCAAGGCTAAGCAATATTGCAAATATTGGTAGGTACCAGCTTTGGCATGGGATGCTTTAAATATCATGCTGATTTTTTTTCTATAAGTAATGCCAACAAAGAACAAGAAATTGAGAATTTCCTTAAGTCCACATATCTGCAAATTTTGGCATACTGCAGCTCTAATCTTTCCTGTGGAAAACATCTGGAAACTCATTTTTCTATGTTGTACTTTGTTTCAGCCCATGAACTTGGCATGTAGTTCCACTGTATCAGGGCACCGTGTCAATCAGTGATGTCAGAAAGCATCAGCACTAGCAAGATCTAGGACAGGGGATTGCTTACAAAGGATAATTTATTTATCAATATTTAGATCCCAAGGAAGGTGGGTGAAGTTTTAAAGTGTGGGGCTTGTGCCTGTGACTTTACTTCTAAAGCTCCGCCCTATAAGTTAGGCACGTAAGTGGCTTTTTCGGGAAGAGTATTCACCTTGTGCAGCACCTTCTGACTGCTAAGGAGTCACCACTTCCCTCATCACTTCCGTGTATGCTCACTTAGGAACCAACACAAGAATTTAGGAGACTATGGTGAAGCCTCCAAGTTTGAAAATATAAGCTCAAGCTTACATACTGGTGCTTAAGCCTCCCATGAAGGCTTCAGGTCTTTAAATTATGTGAGCTAAATCACAGGCTGCGGTAACTTCTTTCCCATACTGGCTTTGGAGGTGATTTAGAAGCCTCATGTTTAATGGTTGAAATTCCATGAGTTGAGACCTGCTCCTTGTAGGTGGGGTATATTAATCTTCCTGGATTCAAATTGTCCTCTTGCTGCAAGCTTATCTGAAACACTTCAGGTTGCACTTCATTTGCAATGATTTTGTATACAGTCTACCAGAATGGGGCCCTGGTTTCAAGAGGTGATCACAGCACAAATGAATCATTATTTAAAATATTTCCTTTTCATAAGCAGCTAATATTTTTAATAATAAATATGCAAGACTGGGATGATGCAAGTGATACCTCAAGCATGTCAATAGCAAATTAGCATAAATCAGATAAACCACCCACAGATTTGTTGTTATTGCTTGATGTTCTACATTACAGGAGGAGAGAGGAGAGTGATTTTTACAGTGACAGTAAATTTTGCAGAGATTACACAAGATGCAAACATACATCCCAAACTGGTCAGTAAGGTGCTCTAAACTGTAGATCTGTACATGTAAACTCATATTGGAAGATGTTTCCATTAAGGGCAAAGGCATTTTTTACCAAATGAAATGTATAAAAGTTTGGAGGATCTAAATTGCAAGCCTGACTATTCTATAGAAAGAAGAAATAAAAACACTGGGTCATGCGTATTTCAGCTAAGCCAGGTTACATTTTGGTAAAATTGAGTTTTCCTTGCAAATTTAAACCAGACACAGAAAACACTGTTATTGTTCCTGAAATTCAGATGTTGCCATAAGTAACAGAAGTGCATACCTCTATTTTGGTAGTCAGAGATCACATTTTAAATGTCTTAACAGTTTCTAGTTTTCCATTCCAGCCAATTGAGACATGCTATGAGTATTAGTAACATTTTCTATCTGGCTATCTCAGCAAGATGTTTACAGCTGATTAGTGCCCACTATTGTAATAAAACTGCATTCTCATAAAGGTATCTATTTTTGGCAACACATCATAATGAATTCTGCAACTGCCAACTGTTTTTTTACTTATTCAATTTTAATTAAAAGCTGGTAGTACTTTATATCTCTATCACTTTCATCTCCTGATAATATTGTGACTAATATGCCTTAGCTCAGTTTTTACCTACTCTGCTTAGAGAAACTGAGAACTTTTAAGCCAACTTTTAAAAATAAGAAAACCACAGTGCAGAGACATTAACTGCTAGATTGTGACTTATATTAAGCATGGATAGCATACATGTTAAAAAAACATGAGAGGGAAGATACTCTCCATTGACATTGTTACTTCCACGATCACAAGACTGCTGTCTGCTCACTGCTCCCAGTGCCAGCAATGCCTTCTCCTCCATTCCTGTTTCTCTAACCTGGCCCTCAGTGAATACATGTTGCAGTGTAAACTTAATTGATTTCTTTCCTTTTGGGCTGGGCTGTTCTGCCTTCTCACCTGCCACCAGTCAGACACTAATCCTGGAAATCAAAAGGTAACGTTAAGCATGTGGGACTGACTCTTTGTAAGCCTGAGCCACCAGACAGACAAGGCCTCGGCTCCCAGGATGGTCTATTGTACTGCTGACTCCATAGAAATAACAGCAACTCATCCAGGCTGGGAAAAATCCTCTCTCTCAGAGCTCCAAGAAAAACATGAATGTTATGAGGGCAAATCAAATGCCAAATGTTCCTGCCAGCAGGGCACAGAAAAAAATGGAAGGTGGGGGAGGTGAAGGACATCATCACGTCCAAGAGTTGTTCTCTGAGAGTCAGAAGGCATCTGGGTTGAGGAAGGCTAGGGACAAATCGAAAGGAAGGATCTGACACTGCCAAGACCACCCTGGGCAATGCTTAAAAGTAGGTCAGCATGCCCATTACTGCTCTGAATTTGGGTTAGTCTTCAGATCCAGAGAAGCAGACCACAACAACTGTCCAGTGTCCTTCCTGTGGGATGGATCTGCAGTAAATGCTGCAGGAGAAGTGAAAGAATAGGGGAAGCACAGAATACCTTCCTGGCAAACCTTTCCAGTCTCTAGCAATTTGTGGCCAAGGACTTCCTGAGTCACAGGTAATATCTTTGCCTTTAATAAGCCC